TGTAACCCTAAACCCTACACGCGAAATCTTTTCTAGTGATTTTAAATAGAGCTCTCCTAAGTTCTATTCTATAGGCCTATAAGAATTGAAATCAAGCTTTCAGGATGTGTGAAAGGCATCGAAATGTTCTCTTATGACATGCAAGGATTTGTATATAATGCGCGGTTTAGTATTGGGAGCCGTTACCGTCAGAGAAATGGTTTCGGAGTATATAATTATATAAAGTAATATTGCATGCATATGATTTAATAGGTTACACGCCACCAAGGGAGATTGTTCCAAACACTACACCCCGGAGCCCCTGTGCATTACAACCTTAAACGGCCCTAACTCTCTTCTGGTATCACTAGCCATGCAGAGGCTAAACCCTAAACCCTAAACCCCTAAACCAGAGGCACACGGCTTAGTTCTTTTGCCAGCCTCCACTTGTAGGCAACACTCCAGGGTTGCCTGGGAACTGCGTTTAGGGTTTAGGGTTTAGGGTTTCGGGGTCTGTTGTGTAGGTAGGGCTCATGCTGGCTTCAAGCCTTATAGGATTTGGTAGTCTGGGTTCTTATGTTAAGGGAGTTAATTTACGTTACCAAAATAGGGATCTATAGTAAATATAGGGATCTATCGTAAATAATATGGCTTCCTTCTTATGGTAACTTAAGATAAGTCCTTCAACAAGAACCCAGTAATAGTAACTTTGGGTTTACGGATTTGGGGCTTGGGCTTCCTGATACTGGCCTTCGACAGGGTCGTTGCGATCTACTGCCAACTGCCAGTGTGGCAAAACCTGTGAAACCTGAAGACTGTTGTTTTATGCTAGCTGGGGCTTGTGACATAGTCGCGGTGCGGCCACAAATATGTTCATGTACACTTGTTCATCAACAGGCTGAGTGATGTTCTTGGCCGTGTGTCTCTTTATATACAGCCTGCCTGACTCCTGCTAAACACATATATAGCATCCCGCTCTATCGTCCACAAAGAGAGCTGAAAGAGAATGAGAAACCATTCCGCCCGAGACCATTGTGGTAGTGGCTTAGTACAGCCCTGAACCCTAAAGCCCTGAACCCTGAACTCTGAACACTAAGTCTAGGTGAGCATCGTGTGGAGGATCTGAGGATTTGAGGAGGTCCACTGCCGGAGCTATCAAAATCTACGGAAGCATTATGCCGCAAACACTAGACAGCAAAGCCTACACCCCCAAGTCCCCAAAAGACCAGCCATACGGATCCGATGTTGGAAGTAAGAAACACCCTTCCTGGGAGGATGCCAGAAACACCCTATTGTTAGGTTCTGATGTTTATGGTATCATTTCGGCTCCGACATTCCCCCTAAACTTGCACTACACCCGGTTGCCCTCTCACAGAAACACCCTTGCAGGAACACTTCTGCAGGCAGAGACCACTATGGGGTCACTGGGTTTGGATCTTGTGCCCAGCTCTGTGACATGAGAGGCCCTAAGCGACAGGAACACTTGTAGCCTTATCGGAACCACCTGGACCTGGCTGTGTCTAACATTCCCAAAGGCTCCATGTACCCATATTTAGGGTTTAGGGTTTAGGGATATAGTATATACTCAGGCCTTAAACGGGTTCCTATATAGGTACTTTAGGATCTAAGTATATACTATATGGGTACATGGAGCCTTTGGGATTAAAGGCAAGGAAAGACATAGGCCTCACAGCCTATGACGGCCCGACGCAGTCACGAACGAAAGCCCAAACCGAAACTTTGCAGCTCTCAAACCCTATACCCTCAAACTTTAACTTCTGAACCCTAGGCCCTACACACCCTAAGGCCCTCAACCCTGATCCCTAAACCCTAAACCAACCAATTCGGTTATGTGGCTCGGCTTGGCAGGGCTTGCCCGCCCAAAGCTCCGCGATAGAGTCTTTGGAGGAAACCTGCAACTGACAGGGTTTACCTGTGGCCGAAAAGACCTAATTACCTTAAGAAGGAACTTTACACAGACACCCTAATGAGGAACCCTAAAAAGGAAGGTCTTTTCGTCTGCCGGCGGGCTTTTTGTGCAAGACGCAGTGGATTTTCTACACATCACCAGGTCTACTGCTTGCATGTAGGCCTTAGGGCGTTTAGGCCTTAGGGAGTGGGGCTTAGCATTTCGTAGAACGACCTGGGCTGAAAGCCTCGTGAAAGGTCTAGGGCTCATGCTTCGAAGCTTAACCTGTTCAACTAGTTCACAAGGACAGTAACCTGCTTCGAAACTTAACCAACTATTTCACCAGGAACAGTAACCCTAACCCCCAGGTACCTGCTATATAGGGCACTAGAGCCCTAGGGCACTATATAGTAAGTACCCGGAGGCTTAGGGTAATAATGAACAGGGCTGCCTTTCGGTTCGATCTCTGTTTAGGAAGGGTACCTGTACCCATAGGCCCCTAAGTAGCTCCTTTTATGGTTTATATTTGGAATCCTATAAGGTAATCCCAAAAAGGAACCACTTAGGGGCCTATGGGTAGTCTCCATTGTTGCTCCAGCAACTATACATTTTTTGATCCTAGAAGTTAACCCAAAAAAGAAGCTACAATGTACGCTATACCCTAAGGGTCCATGTATTCCTAAAGTATAGTATAGACTTTTGCCTTAAAGTCGTCCCTATGTAGGTACTTTGGGGCCAAAGTACATACTATTTGGGTAGACGGACCCTTCGGGACAGGCAAAGCGTAGGTGGATGTTGAGGCCTTGGGTTTATATTGTTCCACGACTTTTGTTTGTCTCAAAGGCTTTCGGCTTTAGGTCTGGGGTCTATAAACCCAAGGATACACTAAACCCTAAACCCGTAAACCCTAAACCCTAAACCCGATTCGAAGGCTTTGGGTTTGGGATGTAAGGTCAGCCCGAAACCCTTCCCTAAGCGGCCACAACCCCTAGCATTTAGGTAGTCAGGATTGCAGTTTTTTAGGGCTCGTATTCTGGAGAGTACTGAGCATTTGGCCCCAAATCCTAAACCCCAAACCCCAATTAGCCTAAACCCAATAACCCAAACCCTGAACCCCAAACCCCAAACCCGAATTTGCCTAAACCCAAATCCCTAAACCCTAAACCTTACCTGATTCCCTGTTAGGCCATAGTCAGAATGATCATTCTTAATTTTCTTATAAAAAAAGTTTCTTACCATAAAAGAATAATGTGAAATTGTATCCAACAAGGACCCACGTACATGGAAACCCGTAGGGGCAGGGGATTCTTAAGAGTCCCTAAACCCTAAACCCGAACCGTATTAAAGAGTCTTTGGCTGCCCTCGACGCCTCGGTGCCATCCAACCGCAACGCCCGCAGGAGCCGGAAATTGCAAGCGCCCGCAACCTGGGTTTAAAAGGTGCAGGGATTATAGGGCTTGGGTATAGGGTTTAGGGTTTAGGGGTTTAGGGGGTTTAGGGTTCAGGGTTTAGAGTTTAAGGTTTAGGGAGTAGGGATTATAGGGTTTAGGCTTTAGGGCCTTTAAATTAGCTACTTTTTTCTATATGTGACCCTCTAGGTATGCTGCTGTCAGCTCGTTTTGGGCTCAATTGTCCCCCCAAACAACGAAAATTTAGGGCTATTTTTTGGTTTCGTTCCGGCGAGTAAGGGGCGGGCATGGCCGTTCATGCCAGATTCATTAAAACATGAATCAAACCCATACCCTAACCCTCCAGGTACTTGCTATATAGGGCCCTGGGGGCTCTCGTACCCTATATAGTAGGTACCTGGCAGGTTAGGGTTAAACAACACACCCTCAAGGATCTTATAGTGCACATGAGAATTCTCGTCAAGCATCACATGATTCCTTTTTCAGACAGCTCCTGTCTGAAACCATCGTGTGCACGACCAGCGCACAGGCGCGAGCGGCTTTGGCGCCCAACAGCTTCGGCGGCTCTTCCAAAGCCCTACACCCTTAAACCCTAAACCCCAAACCCCTAAACCCTAAACCCCTAAACCCAAAAACCCGTGGCTCAGAAAGTGGATACAGGATCCGCGAGGTTCCCTGATGTTCTCGTGGCAATGGGCTGCGCAGAGCAGGCTGGCTTCAAAGGCTTCAGCTACTATGAAGGTATGGGAAGACTTGGTAGTCTAAAGGTCTCAGCAGCTTGCCATCTTCATCTTGGAAATAGTGACGAAAGCAGAGCTGGCAAACGTAGGTTGGATTCCGAGGACAGCGGACGGCATTGTGCACCGCCCAGAAAGCCAGCGTTTGGATGCATGCTTGACAAAGCTTGCGCGGGAAGTCCCTCATGAAGGTGAGCCTGGGTTCTGAGAAACCAAGGAGAGAAGGTTGGCTCTTACAAGAAAGCTACCTCAAACCACCAACAAGGCAACAAATTGAACTCCAAACCCTAAACCCTAAACCCCTAAACCCTAAACCCCTAAACCCTAAACCCCCAAACCCTAAACCCTAAACCAGATTCCAGGAGCAAAGGGTAGGCCTCTTTGAGGGGGCAGTCGCTACTCAGTACAGGCAGGCGTGCGCCTGTGAAGTAGATTGCATGCTCCTCGTTCCCCTGATGTATGTAGGCGCACCTCTCCTGAGGTTAGGGTGTTTAGGGTTTAGGCTTAGATTTTAGGGTTAAGGGTTTATAGGGTTTATAGGGTTTATAGGGCTTATAGGGTTTATAGGGCTTAGGGTTTAGGGTTTATGGGGTTATAGGGTTTAGGATTAGGGTTTAGGGTTTAGGGTTTGTGGGGTTTAGGGTTTAGGGTTCGTATGAAGCTTAAGGCTTCGGCTTAAGGGTTAACGTACCTTAGACTTCAGGCATCAGGACCAGGCGAGCAGAGTAGATTCCCTCTCTCTCTATGAAAAATAGGTACACACATAACATATGTATCATATATATATATACATACATACATATATATATATATATATATATGCATACATACCCACATAATATGAGATATATATATATATACACACACATGGTATCTTGAGTGATTGAATGATTTTCGTTACAAAGGGCCGAGCGTCCCCAAATGGAATCCGCTCCAGATCGGAGAGCCTGGTAGTCCATAAATAGATTTTGTTTAAAGCACATGGTTTGTTGACAAAACCTGTAAACCATACCCTAACCCTCCAGGTACTTACTATATGGGGCCCTAGGGGCTCTAGTGCCCTATATAGTAGGTACCTGGGAGGTCAGGGATAGGTTGTTTAAAAGGCCTGGTCGTCATGGACCGAGAGGACGTCTCCCTCAAGTTCTGACAACCCGTCTGCTGGACGTGCGGAATCAGCTCCTTGGAATAGTCAAGCGAGGAAGCCCATCTCCGGTCACTATAGAAAATGCCGTCGATGAAGAAACATGCAGAATCCAGCCGTGTGGGGCCGTCATACTTCCAATCCTCTGCAAAGTAAAAGGCATCCCGCAGCTCTTCCAACGTCTGGGTCGACAGGATGTCGTACTCCTGCTCCTTGTTCCCATCCTTACCATGCACGGAGACGGTCAGGATCACTTCAGACCCCAAGCAATCCATGTAGTCCGGGATGTCAGGCGGGGGCTCGCACTCGTGCTCCACTTCTTTCCCAATCAACTCCTCGGAGCCCGTCGCTGTCTTCAGCAAGCGATGCAGTATTCGTTTGTGAGGGCTTCCATGCACTCCGTTCGGGTGTACACGGCAGGCATGCGTCGACGAGAGGCGCCAGGCCTTCGTCGGCGCCGGGTCGACCAAGATGTCAGCCGTCTCTGCTTTGCACTTCCCCCAGCGCGCAAGGACCACGTCAGCGTAGCTTGGCAAACCCAAAGTGCTTCGCATCTCGACACATCCCGCATCTTCCCCGCGAACGGTGAATCGTCTACTCGGGTCCCTGTTTTTTGCCTTTCTACTTCTTCTCTTCCTCCTTGCTGCCTTTCTCTTCGGCCAGAGGCGGGCCTCTGATAAACAGCACCAACCAGGTCAAGATCGAAGGAACATGCCTTCTCTACGTCATCTCTGTCTAACCGGCTCCATGTGCCCATGTAGTGTATGCCTAAGGCTTCAAGTGACTATAGTGAAACCCCTTTAAGGCCTAAGTATATGCTGTATTGGTACATGGAGTCTTAGAATAACTACACATTAAATTACACTGAACAGAAGCAACACCCCAAAACACTTTGATCCCAAAACTCCTGTGGCTCCAATTGCCGAAGGTTTTGAGAGGGTCCTCCTTCCAACGAGGGGCTCATAACCTAGTAAGGTTCGAGGCTACACATAACCCCCTAAGACCCTTAAATACCTTCAACCCCCCACAGCGCAAACCCATGCACCTAACTCCTAACTGATACTTTGAGAAGCCCTAACCCCCAACAGCCTTATCCCCTGAACCCCCGAAACAAATTCAGACAACTTCACACACTAAACCCTAAACTCGAACTCTACGAAATCCCTACGCGCACCCCTGGAGCACTCAGTAGGTCTCACGAAGGGCCTGTGTCTTTGGCCAAAGCCAAAATGGTCTCCTGGGCTTCGCGGGTTGCACCTCTTCCGCTGGTCGCTCCTCCCTGGACTTCACGGATTGCATCTCTCCCTCTGGCTGTTCCTCCGAGTTTTACCAGGAGCCCTAGTACTTCGACTATGGGCTTTATAGGGATTAGGGTTTAGGGGTTTGGGGTTTGGGGTTTATGGGGGTTATGGGGTTTAGAAAATGGGAGCTAGGATTTTGGGGGTCTTTAAGGATTTAGCTGGACACTTCTCCTACCCAGTCGGTCTTTTTCGGGTTCCATGAAAGGGGTTTATAAGAATTTCTTCGAGGGTCCCAATGCCGAATCATAAGCCCCAAAATATAAACCTTACCTATAGTCTCCATTGTGGTTCCTTTTTGGGGTTACTTTATGGGTCCTTAGTATAGAATTGGTTAAACCATAAAAAGGAGCTACAATGGAGACTATAGGTGCTTTGCACTATATGTTCCCTAAACCCCTAAACCCTAAGCCCTAAACCCTACCTTAGTAAGCCTTAGTATACATGTATTGTGTCCTTCGGACCCTTACCCTTACGGTTCTGTTTACTCTGCAAGCTGCAACAGCTTACCGTGGCATGTAGGACTGGTGGGTCGAGGGTTCAAGGTGGTCGCTGACCTCATGACTTTTCGCTTGAAAGGTCTTCTTTCTTCTGATGGTTTGAAGCAAACCCGAACCCAAACCCTCCAGGTACTTACAAAATAGGGCCCTAGGGCTCTAGCACCCTATATAGCAATAGTACCTGGGGGGGTTAGCGGAAATCCTTCATCTACAACCCAAAAAGCTTGGCGTCGGTTGCCTGCGCAATCGCACTGTCGGGCATTGCTTCGGCTTCCGCCCTGTCAGTGGAGGCCCCAGGACGGTTCCGGTTCCTGAGATAGAACCTGAGTTCTCCAATAGACACATATGGGACCTTCCGAAAGTTGGGGTACCTGATTTTGGGGCCCTTATAATAAGGATCTTTGGGTACTATATTAGGGTCCCCTATTTTCGGAAACCCCATATAAACAATAAAAGCTACCCTTACTAAGGAGCCCAAAGCAAAAAGGGCAAAAGGGTACTACTTGGGAAGCTAGGTACGTATACCCCTTTCTTGCGCGTCTGGATCGCGCTCGATCGAGCTCCCAATCCTCGTCTGTGAAGCCCTCTTTGTACAGCTGGTTTCTTATGACGTCACTGATCATCCGGGACACCGTTGGCAGCCACGTTCCTTCGCTTTCGATGTCCAGGTCCTTCCAGACATCGGTCAAGGAAGCAGGAATTTTGGCAAGGGCAGCCGCGCGCTCCTCAGAACGCGTCTGCCAGGATTGCAGGTTCTGTACCTCTGGCAGGGATTGTAAAGGATATGACCTGGCCCGTTTGAACTCCTTCTCGGGGACCAGACTGCCTGTCGAACGTGGATCATTCAGCACCTGGGTTGTAGTACACATGTACACACCCCTCCAACCTCAAAAAAAAATAACCTTCACGAATAGGTGCACTCATTAGAACCCTGATGCCCTAAAGCAAAAAAACAACCCTAACTTAAGACCCTAGCTCTAGACCTTAACCCCAAGCCGGGCACTTTAAACTTGCTCCGGCGAAGTCTGACACTGGGCCGAGGCTTCCAGCGATCCCCAAGGACGCTGACCTCCTCGTCCTCTTGGTCACTGCCCTCCATCTCGGTCTCGGCCTACCCATAGGCCCCTGAAAATTTCCTTTTTGGGATTAAATTGTAGGATTCTAAATATAAACCATAAAGAGGAACTACTGAGGGGCCTATGGGTAGTTTAGGGCTTAGGGCTTATAGGGTTTATGAGGCTTTAGGGGGTCTATAAGACCCAAGCTGCCTAAACCCTAAACCCTAAACCCCAAAATTCTCAACCCTATACCCATTTCGGTCTCCGCCTGGTGGCTTAGAACGCCATGAAGGTAGGCTGGAAGAGCCATGCTTGTCTTCGCCGTATTGGGTCGCTGGTTGGGCCGTGGCTTGCTGCTTTTAGGGTTTGGGGTTTAGGGGTTTAGGGTTTAGGGGTTTTTAAGGGCTTAGGGTTTAGGGGTATACAAACCCCGTTCAGGGGAGTCTAAGGCTTAAGGTTCAGGGGCTTAGAAGAACCGTGGAGTCCGAAATACATGGTGTCTAAGTCTTGTCCGGTCTTGGTCTGTATGATGGATCAAGCTACTTCGAAGCAACAAGCCGAGGCTAGTTGAGAGAAGTTGGTGGCAAATCTGTGGGTGGGGCACCTAGATGCGACGATTTGCATGCCTAGACCCCGCAAAATGTGGTCCCTGATTTCGGTCACCTGAGTTTCTTTCTTATATGATCCGTGTCCATAAGAAGAAGGGCTATCCAAGACCAAGTGCTGCATTCTAGGGTCTAGCCTAAACCCAGACCTCAAACCTTCGCCGCTAAGACACTGCATCGTGATAGAATGCATAGAGAGTGCAACTCTCAACGGGAGCTCGAGGCAAGGATGTCGAGCCTGCAGGCATGGGCATAGCTGAAAGTGCAACCGCAAAAACTTCCAAAGAGGCGCCAAAAAAAGCAATATTGTTCGTCACATAGCAGGTATATTACACCCTTATACGGTTTTCGGGAATCTGCAGTTATGGTACCCTCAGGAATAATTCTAGCAAGCTTTCAGACATATATATATATATACTATGGTATGGCAGACATGTCAAACAAGTTCTGGCAGTTGGATCTCTGGTCCGAAAGCTTGGACAGATACTTTCGGGGACACAGAGCGAGACAGAGAGAGAGAGAGAGAGAGAGGGAGGGAGGGAGAGGGAGAGAGGGAGAGAGACAGAGAGACAGAGACAGAGAGAGAAGAGAGAGGAGAGAGGCAGACCGAGAGAGACAGAGAGAGGCAACGAGAGAGGCAACGAGAGACAGAAAGACACAAAGAGAGCATCAGGCACACCTGCGAATCAGTATCCCAAACCGTGAGTTTAGGTTGTAGGGTTTGGGGTGTGCGGTGTAGTGACGTTTAGTGTTCAGACAAGGCTTCGGAATAGAGTATGGCAGTAGGGGCGAAACGAACTTGTATACCCTGCACCTTGACGATGAAACAACACAACCATCTAACCATCCATCCATCCATCCATCCATCCATCCATCCATCCATCCATCCATCCTTGCACGCATGCAGGCAGGCAGGCATGCACGCATGCCATACATACATACATACATACATACATACATGCATACATACATGCATAGATACATAGATACATAGATACACGCATACATACATACATACATACATACATACGTACATACATACATACATACGTACATACATACATACATACATACATACATACATACACACATACATACACACCCACACACACATACAGATGTATACAAAATATGCGCGATCTCAAGGAGCTGTGTTGTGTCCTTCTTGAACAGTCCGCTGCGCTTCTTATCCTTCAGGGTCTCGTCCAGTTCCGTCAGCTTTGGAATCAAGCCTGTGCGCAGCTTAACAACATTACAGGTGGAGGGTGTGGGGCTTTAGGGTGCTTTTTCGGATTAAGGGTTTCTGCTTGGGCTCAGCACTGTAAACGCTGAGTCCAAAGCCGTCTCATCTCATTGAGCAACCTCAAACACACAGCGGAAGGCTCATCACGTCGGCCAGCTGTTGTTCTGCGCAAAGAGCTCTGCGTACATAATGCTGTGCTACACGATGCAAAGTCGCGAGGAAGGGACATGCAGCGATGATCCTAAGAAGCGTCTCTGTCGCCCCAGAGTGAAGTTGGTGCGAAACCCAAGTTTAAGCAAGCTCTGGTGTCCGACACTGCATGCTTAGGGGCTTAGGGTTTAGGAACTATGCCATTCTGGTGTACCAGAGCATGCCATCCGCTCTTGTCGCATTAGGTTCCCGGCAGAACCGAAACCAACAGCAACCAGGTCCTGAGAAAGTTGGACTTCCCTGCGTAGACCAAACCTGCCATATCCCCCCCCGTCGTAAACCAAGCCCTGCCGAACAGCACCCGAAGCTATTATCTCGAATCTCTACGACTCTACGAGCCAGCAGTCGAATTGATTGAGGTGTAGATGCAAACTTGCAACAAGCTTCAAGGTGTTCCGGCATAGGAGAGGGATCCAAGACTCACCCTGTCCAGCCCTTGGCCCGATCCTTTGCATCCGGGTCTTCTTGGTGCTGGGAACTACTGAGGAGCAGACATGGGCAGACTCTGTCCATGTAGCTTCTCATTCGCCGTGCTAGCTCCACTATACACAGTGCAAGATCTCTCGCAGGGATAACCCCGTAACCTCCCCACCTGCAAAACCCGAGAACGAAGAACCCGCAAGGCCTCCGTGTGGCGTAAGCTCCCAGAGTCCCTGCAAGAGCGCCAGCCACGAAATCTTCTTCGGTTCCTTGGCCTCTCCTGGGCTGGGTGCTGGGATGGGGGAGTCGAGAGTTCTAGGGCTAGGGTTTGGGCCATAGGTTCTCCGCCTTAGAGGGTCTTTTTTGGTTCTTCCTGTTGGGGGGCTTCGGCGGATTCGGGCATGTCTCGGCCCATGTATTGTAAGGCATTCCTGTGCTCATGAGAAGGCGAACGGTCTCTAATGTAGACTGCGAGTTGAAGCCACCACCATCAGCACCACCATCACCCAGTCCAGCAAAAGACTAGCACTGACAATTGCAGCAATGACCAGAGACGATTTTGGGATCCAGGCTTGAGGCTTCAGGGCGTCAGGTTGACGAGGAAAGCTCAGCAGGTCACACGGACATGACGGAGAACAGCAGTTGTTGCAGTTCTGCAACGACGACTGTCCGAATAGCAACAGAAGCCACAGTAACGAGAGTGGGATAATTTCGCGGCTAGTTCTTGAAATATACCGCTAAGAAGCCTTAAACCCGAAGCCGCAATCCCACGCAATCCCTACACCCAACAGCTCAGCATGGCAACCCAAGGCCTCACTCTAGCCCACAGCATCAAACTAGCCCAAGAGCCTTATATAATAGGGTCCTTGGGCCCAAAAGCCTTACAAGATGAGTCCTTTGAGGGTATACGGGTAGCTAACCCTACGTGATCCTGAACAAAAGCTAAGGCCTGAGCCGGGGACCAAAGCGGCCTAAACATGTCTAAACCGTTGCTTCAAGCTTCCTCGCGTGTTCGCATGCGGGATAGATGCGTGGATGCTTCGCTGACGAGAGGCTCTGATTTTAGGCTTCGTGGGTTCAGACTTCAAGAATTTCCAGGTTTGGTAAGGTTTTGAGGCAAATGACGTGGTGGGATAGGGCCGTCGGTCTGAGGCTAGAGTGCTGTTGGATTTCGGGGCTGCGGCTTCCTCTTAGCTTGACTCTCAAACTCCACTTCCGTAGGACTTTCATCCCAATAAATCCGAGATCCGAGCTGAGAAGCCCTGAAGCATGAGATTGGTCTTAACGTGAGGAAATTAGACTGGGCTACTGTAGTTAATGATATTGCCAGCCTTTTTGAGTGTTTGTGCAAGTCGGAAGATCCTTAAGCCGCTCCAAGTTGCTGTAGAATCCACGTGCCTGGCAAGAAACACAGGAGGCGAGATCTCAATCAGGTTTTAAAACATGATTTGCTTCTTTGTAGGTTGCTGTGGGGCTGTATATGCTGCAAGGGTTCACAGGACACCTTTCTTAACGACCCGAAGCCATGATTAAACAAAGCATGCTCAGGACCAACCTCACCTTGAACCATCCGAGGCCCAATCTCTCAGGTCTCTCTTCGCTCCTTGCAATCAGCCTCTTGACGAGTCAGTTTTCTGATTGAACGCATTCGACGTGAGGTCCAACCCCGGAATCTCATGCTGGCACTCCTGTCAGTCTTCAAAACCCTTAGCGCAAACCCTCAACCCACCAATCCTGAAGCGCTGAAGCTCTGAGCCGTGTGTAAACCCTAAGCCGGACACCCTGAAACCTCATGGAACCTTCAACCTCAGGCCAAAAACACCCGGAGAAGGGTCCAAAGCCCAAGCTTGTAAAGGTTACCGACTCAGCGGCTCTGAGACTTGGCTCGGAATTTTACATGTATAGAGGGGCTTTGGGTCTCTCGACCTCTCCAACTGATTCGAGACCTTCAGCATGCAGGAGCGTGGGCTCCAGTGTCCAGTGTTTCGGATTTGGGTGGCCATGAACCAATGACCCCAATAATGTTCGGAACGGTATAGATTTTGTAGGGATTGTACGTAACCTAGACCAGAGCCCCAGAAGCTTCAAGGTACGTGCGCTCCCTGCCTTGTCCCAGTCGCGCATCTCAAGTGCGATGGCTGCGCATTCTGCGTACTGCTTGCGGGACTGCAGCACCTGATGATGTCATTGCCACCACACTCTTATGTATAAAGTGAAATTCTAAAAACCAAAAGACTGGTCCTAGAGTCTAGAATCTAGCGAGCATCTTCTTCCTGCGAGGGGTTGGGGAGACCCGCAGGAACGCGCCTGTGCCCATATCCACACCCTTAATTGATTTGGACACACAGGTTTCTACATAACCAGAAAAATGCTCAAACCAACAAGTTGAGTCGCTCTTCTATAAAAGCATTGCCTCTGTGAGCACAGAAGGCTCGGGACCTTTGATTGCACCGCCCTCTCCCCACACCAGCCCCCAGCACGCCGCGGAGACAGAAACCCTAAACCCTAAACCGTATCGCCTATGCGAGCGAGTTCAGCAAACGCTAGACCGCAGGCAGGCGGTGGGGCGGGGGGGGCTTTGAGCTCCAACAACCGAACTCCAGAGTCTATGACAGATGGTCTACAAGTCTAAAACCTGCGAGTTAGTAAAAGGTGATGGAGTAAGCTAAGAATAGCAATATAAAACTTCCAAACTGGTCAGACACCCGAAGCTAAGGAACAGGGATTCCACCAACTCTGCTTCTCGTAATTTCGGAGGAACCGTACCTCCAGGCTTAGCAGCATCAGGCCTCCAAACCCATGGAGGCGAGAAATGTGGCTTCTAACACAGAA